ATTTTAACGTACAAAGTGCTATTAAAAAAAAAAAAATGTTTGTTTACAATATTGTACATAAACTGAAACCTCGCGTCAAGGCATATGATTTGTATTCAACGAATGCCTATTATACAGAACTCGATGTGGCAAGTGCACAACATGCTTATGTAATCTGTTAAAACGAAGCCAAGATACTTTTTTTATTTTTCCAAAGTGGATAATAGAATATGGTTTTAAGATATTATAATAATATGTGTTTGTGTTGTACTATATATATAGGGTTATTGGGTTTACTGATTTTGCATTTTTATAAGTATACCCCACAGACTACATTATTCATAATATTATATAGGTACCTACCTGCATAGTTTCGTTGTCGAGCACAAAATCGATACTGAAAATGAACGAAAAGAACGACATTTATTTTTCCAACCAGCAATAGTTACTTTCTTCAGTTTGTTATTGAAATATCAATATCAAAATTAATAAAGTTATTAAAATCTGTGTTTAATAATATAAAATGTGAAAGATTGTGTTAAATATATAAATATTCGAAACATTTTGTTAAAAAATAAACTACCTACTTATAGTTTTAAAGGAAATTGTTTGTTCGTGTTCAGGTTTTGAGTTGTGTTCGTGAATTTTATCAGACCAATGAAAATTCAACTGAAGGAAAATATAATTTACTGTTCGACAATCGATCAGTTTTATCAAAGAAACGAAACAATAATTTTAAATAAAGGCTTTAAAACTAATTGTAAAAATAATAAAAAAGTTTTACGTAGGATTTTTTTAATTCCATTACTATAAAAATATTCAAAGTGACTGATTATAATGAAAGCGATAAAATACTAAGTTTTGAAATCCCAAAGATGTATACTAAAAAGGATAAAGTTAGTAAATAAACTATAAAATACAGTGTCAACCTGTATTAGAGGGGATGAAAGCAAAATAGGTATAATAAACTTTTTTGGTATTAAAAACGAGATAAAACAAACTTTTAGGCTTATCCGGTCAACGTTTCAAGTATACCCTAGGACAAACATCATCTCATGCCTGCAGAAAAACAACGTATCTTCAATTTGTAAACTTTTATTTTTTTTAAACAAGTTTTTCATTTTTTTAGACGTTATATTGTGAAAAATGTTTAGCTTGAATAAACGAAACATCTATTCAAGTACACGCGGAGATACATCAACCACGATTCTATTACCTATACATTTCTAATCTAAATATTAGTATTTTTAAAATTTTTTTTTATTGATAATAAGGCTTCAACAACAAGGTCGTATTAGGATTATGACCAACGCAAGAACATTAACAATAGATATAATATTATTTAATATCATAAATGAGAACTTTATAATTCAATAGGTTGCGCAAAACATGCGCTGAATAGGTACACCCAAATTTTAATTAATTTAAATAAAAGCGAAATGTCTGCAGATTATAGACTCTTGAAATAAAAGTATGTTTTTATGTCTCTATCACATAGACTATAGAGAATAGACAGTAAAATAATGTGAAATTTGTAAAAAAAAAAAAATACGTGCCCAATTGTCGTTGGCGGAGACGGTAATTTTTTTTCCCCCAGGAGTGTTGTTTTTGCGCACTAATTTACAAGGGACATTTTTCATTAAGACCCCGACGGTGTCACGTGATATTTTTAATTACGGGGACAGACGAAAAGTCTGTTTGTAGTAAGACATCCCTCCGCGGGGATATTCATAACCGAATGGACATATACAAAGACGTAGAGAAAAATGTAATAATAATAATAAACATCAGAGTTTCAGATGACTCAAGGTACACAGTTCATCGTACTAGGGGGAAATAACTATAATTATACATAACATAGTGTTCATGATAATAAAAAATAATTTAAAACACGCTTTCCGTGTAAATTAGAAATAAGTTTTGAAAAAAATAAATAASGAAAACATTAACTGACAAACAACGTGATAATACAACACAGAAACTAGTTTATTAATGTAATTATAAGACTTAAAACTCGTAATTTTAAAATAATTTTTCGAGCCTAATAAATTCGAGCTAATTTTAAACAAACGATGTTGTAMAACAACCTGAATAAAACAAAACTTTATTCACCATTCGCTTTTTGTATAAACGGACATTTGAGTGTAATTATTCGCTCAAATCTTAGCTTTTGATTAGAAATTATTTTTGGTTAAACGAGTTTTTTATATATATATAATATACATCGACGATTGACGATTTATTGAACGATCGCGCAAAAATGACCTCTAAAATTAGATTTTTAAAATACCCTAAACCATACTTTACGGAGTTCAAAAATCGAGTAAGGGATGTGTTTAGGTATGACGGATAGTTTTTTTCCCCTTTTGACTACGTGACATAAATACTTTAGGGCTRTCCAGCATCGTATAACGTCATATTAAAAGTTGTACCTACAATACACAACGTTGTGTAGTGTTCAAAGTACCGTCTTAAAATCATAACTACCATAGATATTACARAAACAAAATTAAAACTAGACRACGAGTTAATTTAATAGCACTCTATTAATTACGCTATATATTTTACGGGAATCTATTTCGATACGGACGCGTAAATGTGTTTAAAAGCCAAAAAGTCTCCGGCATTTTTCCGTAAAACTTCTATTTTTATACGAATCTTGATTACCACCTACATCGTAAAAGTTATAATACATTCATTTTAAAATCCATATTAATCGCAACAAGCGAATGCGACTGGTTAGAAAATTCGAAGTATAAAAAGCGGACTTACATACTTATCACGTTGAGTTAGGTATAATATAACTACGAAAAAAGTTTTCGAGAAAAAAAAAAATTAAATTAGGAATTGAAAAGAACGTTATGCTAATTAAAAAAATTTAAATATTTTTTGAACAAGACCAAAGTAAAAACAAATATTTTACCAAGTCATCACGTGGTTATAATATGATGAATTATGCATGTTTACGATTAAAYTGCAACCGCGATAACGAATTAATTACATTAATGCAATGCCTCGCGTTTATTGAAACTCACTGCACACATACACAAACATAACGTTCACGCTTATTAATAAGTGGCTGTTGTTGAGAGTACAGAGACAAAGAAGAAGAATATAATATAGGTAATACGAGGACTAATCGAATGCGATATAGTTTTGTTATCGTGCCTATAGCTATCATTGATATGAAACGGAAACGTATAAGTAGTTAGATAATAAGAGGTGAAGCTAAAAATATTTAAAAATAGGTATTATTATAATAATAAAATTATACTCGTCTCGTATTGTTATAACGATATAAAAATAAAAAAAAATTAAATTTTTATTATATAATCATTATACAGAGCCAAATCGACTCGCGGCTCATGATCCCCCCCCCTCCCATCGGTGACCTATTGGTTAAGTCCCCATGATTGACGGTGCACTTAAAATTTAATTTTATTATATCAGGTACAACTGTTGTAGTAATATGTATTTAACGGTTGATCCACAACGCTCGTGCGTTTTAATTGACCRGTAAAATAAATTTTATACCCGAAACAGCGGCATCATTAGTCATTATCGATCGGCGTATGCAATGTTATATACATTAGTTCCGGTGCTAAATGTAAAATATTCAAATGGGGCTCGTGTGCGGAAAAACGACCGCCACAATGTCGACGTACGTAATGATAATTTCATATTATTATAACAGATAGTTATAACTTATAATTAACCGTTTTTGTATCGACAAAATATTATTATTATTATTGTTATTGGGTAATTCGCGAGTGTATAGCGGCCGATCGGAATAATATAATTAATATAATAATATATTAAGTACCTATAAGCTAATAAAATAAAAAGTAATAATACTATTAGGTACTAATTATAATTATTAACTATATTATGTCACTATAATATAGTTTCGCGGTCGTAGGGTGAAGTTGTAGTCGTGTGGTGCGTGATGTGTGTGTTGTCGCTCCGTTCCAAGTGCGACTTAAGCCTCTGATAGAAATATTATGTAGGTTCCTGTATGTTAAGTGTAAATCCACTTTTGCAGAGGAGCTAACATCGATGTGAGTGGGGGAGGGGCTTAGGATTTTGGCACATGACCTGTTCATGATAGCATATAGTGTGGGTATACTCGCGCGTGCGACGAAATCGGAAAAAATCACGTCACATATTGGATTCGATCTGAAAGTTTTTACTTTGAGAAGTCTACCGTCACGATTTGCAATCGACTTGTCAGCGACATGACGATAATAATAAYAATAGTAATAATAAAAATTTAACTCTCGATACTTGTGGCCGGAATTTCGGRTAGAAATTGATTTCGGGCAATCGAATAATAATAATAATAAAAACAGGGAAGTGACTACGTTTTTCACATAGTAAAACCACATCGTATTATATTATTATACATTTTCCACCGTTACGACTACTGCAGCACGATTATATTACATTATTGTTATACACTCCTCCCCGTCGTACTTTTGCAGTTCGCATATTTTATTCAGAAAGAGGGAGACAAAAATTCTTGCCACCAAGCCGAAAACATTGTTATAATATATCGTATACGCCGCTTTAATATTGTATACTTCGGAAACTTCGCGTGGGAGAYCGCTGTTTCGCTTCGACAAAATGTCGGACAATAATGTTCTACACGTCAGAGTGAAATAATATAATAGCGCAGACGAACGCATCGAATCGGTTTACGCCGTCGTACATTCTATATTGTGCGAAGAAAGTTGGCGAAAAAAACGTTCGCCCGTGKTAATGCGAATAATTTAATAATAATATGTCCACGAAAATGTAGTCGCTTTGAAATCCACCATTAACGACGCGAAAAAAATTCGATAAAAATACGTTTCGGCGTAATACAACGATCGAGTGTTGGCGCATCATCGTCATATATATATATATATATATATATATATATATATATAACCTCCGCGGCCACTTGACGGCAGTAGAAAAACTGTACAGAGTTTCCGATATTTCTTGTCGATAATAATATGATGTATTGATATTATACGTACCAGCACAGCTGCGACGGTGCAGGAGTGATGATGTCTTTAGGGGCACAAAACCATGGCGACCTCGCCGCCGCCGCCGCCGTAGGTAAGAGACATATTATTATTATTTCATGCTGTGCCGTCAGACCGGCGGCGATGCGAAAACTTTCCAACGTGACTCGATAGGTACATAATATTTAAGAAATAATACGGTTGTATATAATACGAATGAAGAGAAAATTTCGGAAAAACGAAACACTACTACGGCGCAGTGATACCACCACAAAAACCGCACTACCTACTAAAAATTAGATAATGCGGACGGCGTATAATATGACGTGTATAGCACCGCTACGATTACGGAATGCTTCTTCTACTTTGAAACATTCACGACTATTATAGAGAAAAATGTTATAAACACGACGTACCACGTGTGTGTACAGCGTATATATTAAAGTGCCTATTGATACCTATACCTATACGTACTGTACAGATTAGATGATTGCGTCATAATTCACAACATTACAACGGCCGAGGTTAGGTTATAGATTAAGCCATAGATTAAGCGCAGATGATCGAATATTGTTCGAAAAACAGTGTCAATGAAAAATCCACTCGAAAATCATAGATGGATAACGGTATGAAAACGATAACATAATAATATTATTATCCTGTCATAAGACTCGCGTTTTCCGCGATCTCGATCGATGTGCATAAAATACCATTTTAAATACCACCTGCTATTATTTTAATATGTAATAATAATAACAATTATTATTATTATTATTATTATTATTATAATACTACAGCGGTTGTTGTTCGACGGTTTTCGTTTTATGGACGCTAATATTATTGTTTTCGCGGGTTTTACGACGGTCGTACTCCATATTATTATAATATTATGTTATTAATTATTTAATTGGTTTATCTAACACCGTAACACCTGCAACTGCTGCACAGTAGCCCACGGCGTTATCTCTATTCATGGTATTTCGTTCAATAAATAGCAAAAAAAAAAAAAAAAAACAACGAACAAGAATATTATTCCACATGAGTAACTGTTACGCATACCTGACAGGACAACCGAAAACGTATTTGTCGGGAAACGCGCATTATGTCAATGCCGAATCTTGTAGATATAATATAAAACTCATTGTATGAAATTCAAATATCACGATATTATAATGATATGTTTATGTGATTTATTATAATGTTCATGTAATACAATAAAATATTAAGATAACGATATGAAGTTAAAAAATAAATTCATTTATTATACATAATATTATTGTTTATTTATTTTAATTATTTCAGATACTAGGTTTAAAATATAATAGTAACACAATAATATGTAAATAAGAAATTATAGTAGGATAGTAGTATGAAGTTAAAAAATAAATTTTATTTTATTTTTACAATTTTTTTAAATGTACCCATCTACGTTTTTAAAAATCTTGAGTATTATTTGTTTCCAATAGAATTACATAATTTATTAATAAATAATAATTATTATTTTATTGAGATGGCAAGAAGTTACAACGTATTTTATATAATAATGTTTTATTTAAATAATTGCTTTTTCATTATATAATACGGAATAATAAAAGCTGTAATATTTATTTTAATAATTTTTACATCTATTTCTAAAAAATAATAATATTAAATTCAATTTTTTACAAAATATAAATCAGTTATTGATATTATAATTAATCGGATGTAGAAACAAAATGTGATAAGTGTTTAAAAATTCCTTTTTATAAATACAAATAATGTGATAAGTATAAATTATTTTTCAACATTTTGTTTTTATGATATTTTTTAGAACAGAACAATCATATTGAATTCTAATTACTCATTAAATGTTATGGAAATATAATACAATACAAAGTTCATTATAATATGGTGTTTAATATAATATGTTAATGTTATATAATATATAATATATATAAATGGTTTAATTATGTTTATATACGAGTAGTTTACCTATATTAATTGGTTTTTTGTATGTATGAATTTTAATAACTGTTTAAAAATTAAAATTGTTCTCCAGAAATGGCGCTATGCCATCGAATTACTTATATAGACAATTATAATTTTTAATGTACCTACTGCTCATCGACTTGATGAGCGTACAAAACGTTTGGCGTTCGTGCTAACGAATCGGATTCGGACGGCAAAGAATTAAAGCTACATAATATCATTGAGCTCATTATAATATTCACACACATTTATATGTATATATTATACCMTACGTCATACAACTACTGAACTACATCGTCCGACACGATCATTGCAGCCACTCGCTCTGCACTCATATTATTATATTAAAATTTATAATTTTATCACACCGCGAACATCTAAAAAACCGACAAGAATAATTATTGTTATTTTTCTCAAAATATTTTCTGATAAACGACCGATGTTTAATCGCGACACCGCGGAGGCTACTGTCCGTATCGATGTGCATTGTTGCCCGGAATATAAAATATTCATTTTAGAGCTATACCTATATAATAATACCTATGGACATTTCTTTTCATTAAAAATTAATTAGCGTTCGAAAATGAAACTATTACTATCGTGGACCACTACTAACTAGCACCACCACCACCACGTACCGAAGGTCAGACGATTTTTGGTGTGTATATAATAGGTAMAGGCGTCGCACGCGGTATAACAACATTAATTATTATTACCGTGCGATCGTCGACGAATATAATTATTAAAATATAACGAACAAAAACGATCGGTGAAGGCACGAGAATCTTCAACATTATGTGGTTTAAACTTTAARCTCTTGGCGATGAGGGACTATAAATCTTTGATAGTGTTCATAATAATATGGTTTAAATCTATGGAGAGGTACMGATACATATGAAACAAYGATAGACCCATWGAAAAAATTAAAAATAATTGAGCTGACATCATACAAAATACCTGTATACGACGAAATGGATGTACCCCCAATGAAAATAACATTCTTCAAAACTTCTGTTTACTTTCAATTATCAAAAACAAAAACATCACTCTTAAAATTTGACATGAATATAGTGCTATCAAGCAGTATCAATAGTGCATAGAAATCGAACACAGGCCAACTTAAATTATTAGGCCATTGGACAAAATTTAAAAAAAATGATTACTATACTTGACCACTTCGAGAATCAAATATAAATCTAGGTATACAAATGAATAGCTGCAGAAGTCAGTAATAGGATATAGGTGTAATGAAGTATATAAAATAAGTTTTTTTTAACAAATATTAATAATTTTAGTGTTACTGTATTATTTTTATCAATTTTATATTTATGTATATGATGCGTATACAAAAAAAAAGTAATAATACTCTAGTGTGTAGACTCGTAATATAACTTGTAAAAAAAAAAAAGAAAAAAGTAAAAAGACGATTATTATTATTATTATTATTTGGGATCAAAAATGCTTAATAATATATTAAATAACGTACAATTATAAGTCGTGGTCGTTTGCGATTGCCGGCATACGATTTTCGGTTTCTGACGTGGCGATCGTGTTATTATTGGATTTTATTCRTTAGCACGTCATACGCATTTACATTATTAAATTTTACCTACCGCAATAATATGATATAATAATTATACGAAAAAAAAATTCTATTCGGTACGTTTACGTGGTTTGGACAGAGGCCAGTGGCGTACGCAGGGGTCGCAGGTTCTAGGGTTCYGACCCCCTGAAATTTCTCCCTTTTACAAACAAATCTTATTGACCGCCATTTAAATATACATCTAGTCGATCAATTTTTGGTAATTTTTAATAGATATAAAATAAATTGTCAATTTATTATAATTTTTTATAACTAACATTGTATAAAAACTGTTTAGCAAAACGTAATGTAAATTATTTACTCGTGTAAAACCCTGACCGAACTAAAATCCTGCGTACGCTACCGGGCTGTGGCGCCTATATGGGTACTATACACAACACAATATATTAAATAATTGAGCATGATTTTATCGTATACATATATATATATATATATTGTACGACTTTGTTGCTAATCCCAATTAAAACCGTTCTCGCCGACCATTATTAATGCGGTATATACCACGCGTAATTGGATATTGGATATTTTTCATTTCGAGCACGATGTATGCATGCGACGTGGCGTTAGTCCGTCGGTGGCTTGATATTAATATTACAATATTAAAACACACAGATAGGATAAATCGTAGGTAGCTTGGTATAGTTGCTGCTGCGGTAGTGCTGGCTGATATAGATTTTCGTATACGACCATAATAATAATAATAATAATAATAATAATAATAATATACCGCTGCGTTATCAATTTTATTATCGTATATATAGTACGCGTTATCGTTTCCTACGTTTCTGCCGCTCGAAAATCTAAACTACGACGACCGCACACATCGTGCGTAATGCGTACTCTCCTCTACCACTACTCTTACTCCTGTTACCACGACTACCACTGCTACCACTAATATATACTGTATAGGTAACGTATGATATATATTTATGCGTGTGTGTATGCTTTGGGCCCGTGTGAGTTTTTTACGAGCCGGCAAAGTTCCAACAACACTTGCCGCTGTGTCCAAAATCAACAAATTACCCAACACGTTGCAATATACTGCTGATCCTGATCCTGCCACCGGCTCCCCTTCCCCACCCACACCGTTACATTTTCCACCGCGATATCATAATAACACGGCGCAGCCACGTCGGGTTTGACGAACACGCAAATCTATACAATAATAATAATAATAATAATAATAGTCATAGTAATAATAGCGTATAGCGTCGAGTAAATCGATAGTGTATCAGCGACGGAAAGGCCGTCGACGGAAATAATATTTTACTAACGAACGATGTACGCGTTTTCTGTCGGATGTTTTTGAAGAAATACACAAGGCACTGTCTTTTCCGCTCTCTTTGTCGGTTCTACCGGTTATTCATACTTCGCTTAGCTTCGACGTCGGCGGCGGTGTGGCTTATTATTATAGTCTGATGTTTTTACTCATTGCGTTTGCGCGGACAAATCCTCGTAGGATATATATATATATACATATATGGGCAATACGAGATGCAAGAGAACACAATACCTATACAGAGCTAATGTCGTCGTCGCCGCCGCATAATACAAGTGAAGTGGCTCGGAATGCTTTTGAACGGTTCTGCAGGGACATAAACACCATAAAGAAAATCGAATAAAAGGGATTGCCGCTCGGCGATGTCCGTCATAACCCACGTCGTACCTATAGTCGTCGTCGTCGCTGTCGCAGCGCTACTCCCGAGGCTTTCTGCTGAAACTTACCCGGTCCGTACGTACGGGTTTCGCCGTATAT